ATAAATAGATATTTTTTAATCATTAAGCTTACATTTAAATTAAGTTTTAGAAAACATATATGTTTAATTTCAAATACATTTGGAATTATAACATCTTCAATTTGTATGGAATTTGTTTGAAAAACACTTATTTAGGCGTAGAATTTTTCATCTAACTTTAAAAACTTTTTAATTTTGGCATAACCAATATTTTTAATATATATGTAAGAATTAATAGACTTATTATTTCTGTTGTACTCTTCACTATAGTATACCTGATTTTTAAATTTAAATCTGGTGAATATAATTAAATTATTTTCCCATTGGGAAAATGTCGTGTTGAATAAACTTATTTCCTTTACAGGTTGTTTTTATTCAAATAATTCTTTTTAGAGTTATAAAGTTGTGTGCCGTGAACGGCTAAAAACCAGTTAGTTAAAGCTCAGTAAAATTTGACAAAGCAGGTAAACTTAACTAAAGTATACACGAGAAAAAGGAAAACAAAAAGCGCGAATGAAACCAGACGTTTGCGTACGAAACAGGACCGAAATGCACAAAGGAAATACAGGCAAACCGAACGCGGATGAAAGCAGAGATTTGCAATTAAAAGCAGATGTTTGGAGATGTTCGCGGATAAAAGCAGATATTTGCGGATAAATGCAGGTGTTTGCGGATAAAATCAGATGTTTTCGATTAAAATCAGATGTTTGCGGATAAAATCAGATGTTTGCGGATAAAATCAGATGTTTGCGGATAAAAGCAGATGTTTGCGGATAAAAGCAGATGTTTGCGTATAAAATCAGATGTTTGCGGATAAAAGCCGATGTTTGCCGATAAAAGCATATGTTTGCGGATAAAATCAGATGTTTGCGGATAAAAGCAGATGTTCGCGGATGATTGCAGATGTTCGCGGATGAAAGCAGATGTTCGCGGGTGATTGCAGATGTTCGCGGATGAAAGAAGATGTTAGCGGGTGATTGCAGATGTTCGCGGATAAAAGCAGATGTTTGCGGGGGTGCACTAACCGGATGAAATCAGGCGTTCGCAGATAAAAGCATGTTTGTGGGTGAAACCGTATGAAAACAGATGTTTGCGGATAAAACCAGACGTTTGCGGATGAAAGCAGATGTTCGCGGGTGATTGCAGATGTTCGAGGATAAAAGCAGTTGTTCGCGGGTGACTGCAGATGTTCGCGGATGAAAGCAGATGTTTGCGGATAAAAGCAGATGTTCGCGGTTAAAATGAGATGTTTGCGGATAAAAGCAGATGTTCGCGGATTATTGCAGATGTTCGCGGATGAAAGCAGATGTTCGCGGGTGATTGCAGATGTTCGCGGATAAAAGCAGATGTTTGCGGGGGTGCACTAACCGGATGAAATCAGGCGTTCGCAGATAAAAGCATGTTTGTGGGTGAAACCGTATGAAAACAGATGTTTGCGGATAAAACCAGACGTTTGCGGATGAAAGCAGATGTTCGCGGGTGATTGCAGATGTTCGAGGATAAAAGCAGTTATTCGCGGGTGACTGCAGATGTTCGCGGATGAAAGCAGATGTTCGCGGATAAAAGCAGATGTTGGCGGATAAAATCAGATATTCGCGGATGAAAGCAGATGTTCGCGGATGATTGCAGATGTTCGCGGGTAAAAGCATATGCTCGCGGATAAAACCAGACGTTTGCAGATAAAACCCGACAAAAATAGACGGAAAAAAATGCAGGTAATCGCGGATAAAAACAGACGTAAGCAGACGTTTGCAGATGATTCCGGACAAATTCAGATATAAACGAAACACAGTGAAGACGGTTAAAAACAGATGATTGCAGATGATTGCGGGGGTGCACTAACCGGACATAAAACACAACCAACCGGGTGTTTGCGGATATAGCGATGCGGACAAAAGCAGATGTTATCAGATGATATTCCCAGATAGCACACAACGTCTTGAAGATGTCTTTTGTATGTCTGTATTATGCCTGAACGTCTGAAGATCTAAAAAAGACGTCTAAAAGATGTCTTTTGATAGACGTCTTAAAGATATCTTCATTTAATGTCCTAAAGACATCTTATAAACGCCTGATAACGCCGCTTATTTTTTTTTTTCATTTTTTTGGTAAAATATACTTAAGACAGCAAACAAAGTCTTGAAGATCTAAAGATCTAAAAAAGACGTCTGAAAGACGTCTTAAAGATATCTTTATTTAATGTTCTCAAGACATCTTATAAATGCCTGATACCGCGGTTTTTTTTATTTTTTTGATAAAATAGTAAATGTTGACAAATCAAAATCGAAATTATATCCCATAATCAGCGACTTCATATGTAATAGAAATAACTTTAATGTAGGATTTTGAGTTTTGACAACGATTATGGGTAGGGTAACTAAATAAATATATATATGACATTTTTGTTGATTGGTTATTTTTCCTACAATTAATAATATCCATTTTATAATAAACCATTATAAACTAACATGTTTTTAAAAAATTAAGTATTAAGACTAAATAACCTTAAAATAACCCAACGAACGTTTTTAAATCAAATTACCCGCATATTTCCCATAATGCAATGAAATCATAAGTCACGCCATGAGATCCTTATGCTTTCCTTTTCTATTTCACCAAGCGCTGATATGTCTGCCTCTTTTCAATTCTTAAATAACTCGTACCCACAATCCAATGTGGATTGTGCTCGTAGTACGAGCCTTGTACCTAACTATAAATGCAGATTGCAAAGATCAGACGCCATTTTTGCCGCTTACGTCAAATTTGGTTAAATAGCTAATCGTGGCGGTTTTTCGTTCTCGTTTGACGTTTAACTTAAGTGACAAGTAAAAGCAGTGTGCAGTGTTGTAACCAGGGTGTTCCACCCTGGTTGTAACAACACTGTTTTTGGATTGTTTTTGTGAATTTGTTGTGGTTTAATATACTCAAGAGGGAAAATTATTCAGGTAATTTTGAAATGTTTTCTTGTGTGCTTAAAATGAAGCGTACATCTCTCAATAAATATTATATGCGTGCAAAGAGGGCCGCCAATTTAAAAAGACCCTCACTAGAAGATATAGAAAAGCATGTTTTACATTCTCCCGCCATTGTGTCTAACGGTGAGTGCTGCACTTTCACTATACCTAGTGACTCGCCGTCTGATGTTGAGCAGGATTCTTCCAACATTTCTATTCCAAATATCGAAGGAACCTCGAAAGGTCTAGGAAAAGACACCAAAGAGGTGGAAGTTGCCATACAGGCTTGGTTAAGAAGGGCTTCAGACAGTAGGCTTCTTCTTGCCAAGAAGTTTTAAATCGATTTAGGCAGAAATAAATATGTAATAATTTAATTTTTGTTTTATTTTAAATAGAAGTACCTATACGTTATTTTTAGAAGTTAAAAAGCATTATTAGCTACATTTTAATTACTTAATAGTATTAAGTTAATACATTAGAAACGTTTTGGCGATGTAGCAATGCATAACCAAAACGTTTTCAATAGGTAGTCTTTAACATCTTAAAGACGTCTTAACGGCGTTTAGCCACGACTTAATAATGCCGTTAAAAAGACATCTTAAAGACGGTGTGTTTTGTAACATTAGATATCTTAAAGACGTCTTAAAGATGACTTACGTCGTAAACTGGACGTCTTAAAGATGTCATGAACGTCCGAGTCCGACATCTTTAAGATATCTTTAAGATGTCTCTGTGCTATCTGGGTTTTTACCCGCTTTTATCTGCTTTTATCCGGCTTCGACGAAGAATTTATACCCGCAATCATCTGCTTTTATCCGGTTTTGACGAAGAATTTATATCCGCAATCATCCGTCATTTTCAGCAGGGCAAGAGGGAAAATTATTCAGGTAATTTTAAAATTTTTTCTTGTGTGCTTAAAATGAAGCGTACATCTCTCAATAAATATTATATGCGTGCAAAGAGGGCCGCCAATTTAAAAAGACCCTCACTAGAAGATATAGAAAAGCATGTTTTACATTCTCCCGCCATTGTGTCTAACGGTGAGTGCTGCACTTTCACTATACCTAGTGACTCGCCGTCTGATGTTGAGCAGGATTCTTCCAACTGTTGGAATCCAACATTTCTATTCCAAATATCGAAGGAACCTCGAAAGGTCTAGGAAAAGACACCAAAGAGGTGGAAGTTGCCATACAGGCTTGGTTAAGAAGGGTTTCAGACAGTAGGCTTCTTCTTGCCAAGAAGTTTTGACTCGATTTAGGCAGAAATAAATATGTAATAATTTAATTTTTGTTTTATTTTAAATAGAAGTACCTATACGTTATTTTTAGAAGTTAAAAAGCATTATTAGCTACATTCTAAGCATTATTAGCTACATTCTAATTACTTAGTATTAAGTTAATACATTAGAAACGTTTTGGCGATGTAGCAATGCATAACCAAAACCTTTTCAATAGGTAGTCTTTAACATCTTAAAGACGTCTTAACGACGTTTAGCCACGACTTAATAATGCCGTTAAAAAGACATATATCTTAAAGACGGTGTGTTTTGTAACATTAGATATCTTAAAGACGTCTTAAAGATGACTTACGTCGTAAACTGGACGTCTTAAAGATGTCATGAACGTCCGAGTCCGACATCTTTAAGATGTCTCTGTGCTATCTGGGCTGACGGGAAATGTTTTGGACTTCCAACTTATTGGCTTAATGTTGCATGAAATATGCCAGCTTGTTATTGCCGACAACGCGTTTCTTTAGGTTTACTAAGAAACTTTGGTTATCTGGGTTATGGCGTATACGCAAAATCGAAAAAATGTCAGGGGATTGACTTTTATTGGGTACCCAATTAATTAATAATACCTACGTATTAAAATGTTGTTCAAAAATTTTCTTTAAAACATTCCTTTACTCACCCTGATAAACCAATATTATTTCTTTTTAAATTTATTTTATAATTTAAATTTTAATAACATTGGACTATAGCTACTATATAAATAAATAAAATTTTAACACCCTCAATATACGAAAGGAAGCTTATAAGGACCTAATTTAATAAAAGTTTTTTCCTAATTATAAATTTTTTTCTAGAAGACGCTCAATAATAAAAGTGTATGAAACCGAAAGAAAACAGACAAACGAAATGCAGGCGGATAAAATCGGACGAAAGCAGACGTTTACGGTTGAAAACGAGCAAAAACAGACGTTTGTGGGTAAAAACAAACGTACGCAGGTGAAAGCAGGCGTTCGCAGACGAAAGCCGACGTTTGCGGATGAAACCGGGCGAAAGTAGATCAAACTAAATGCCGGCGATCGCGGGTGATTGCGAGGTTGCACTATCCGGGCGAAAGACAGGTATAACCGGGCGTTCGCAGGTGAAAGCAAACGTTTGCGGGTGAAAAAGTATGAAAGCAGACGTTCGCGGATGAAATCAGGCGTTCGCGGGTAAAAGCAGGCGTTTGCAGGTAAAACTAGACGTTTGCGGGTGAAAACAGGCAAAAGCATACGTTTGCGGGTAAAAACAGACGTACGCAGGTGAAAGTAGACGAAAGCCGACGTTTGCGGATGAAACCAGGCGAAAGTAGATAAAACTATAAGCCGGCGATCGCGGGTGATTGCAGATGATTGCGTTCGCAGACAAAGCGAAGCAGGCGTTCGCAGATGAAAGGAGACGTTTGCGGGTGAAACCGTATGAAAGCAGACGTTCGCGGATGAAATCAGGCGTTCGCGGGTAAAAGCAGACGTTTGCGGGTGAAAGCAGACGTACGCAGGTGAAAGCAGGCGTTCGCAGACGAAAGCCGACGTTTGCTGATGAAACTGGGCGAAAGTAGATAAAACTAAATGCCGGCGATCGCGAGTGATTGCAGATGATTGCGGGGGTGCACTAACCGGACGAAAGACGGATAAAGTATATTAGGATAATAAAAAAACTGCTTTAATTTTTTTATTTATTAAGTATAAAGCACAAATAAAATTTAATAATTTAGCATACATTTTAAATCTAATAAATTATAAAATAATAAATAGGTATATTATTAGCTATATTCATTGCCTTCATACAAACTTTCACAAATTTCTAAAAGCTTTAATACTGGATTAATATTGTAAGGAAATAAATTTTGTGATACTAATCTGCTTATCTGAATTTTTAATCTTATTAACACAGTCATAGTATTATCCAATTCATTACCTTGTGAATCTGCATTATCTCTGCAACTACTTAAAAAATTTGGCCAATTTTTTTTTGTATACTTTAAAAACCTTAACAAATACAATAAAAAGCATGTTTCATTGCTGATTAAATAATCCAAAAGAACATGATAATCGTTATTTACAATTTTTAAAAATTCAATAAAGGAATAAATTGGATTTAACATAATAATTAAATCCGGAAAAATTGCGTTTCTTCCATATGATATACCAGTAATAATATCTAATGTACAAACCATTGATTCTATCATGTAATCATCTTGATCACTAAACAAGTGTATTAACACTTTGGAAAAAGAAGCTTCTGGGTGATATTCTAAACTATTTTTAATAAATATATTTAGTTTTTTAAGCACATCCCTAATGGATCTCTCTATCAACTGCATATCTTGGTAAAAATCATTGTCATCAGACCCTATGCTTGAATCAGAACTATCAGATCTACTTTCTTTAATCATAACAGCCACTGATTTTAAAACCAGTAAAACCATTTTCTGTAAAAGTGTTCTATCCACATTACTTTGTTCTGGCTGATTACAATTAATAATGCCTACAAATCCATTAACTGTATAACCTTCTTCTCTTTTATAAGGCAATTTATATAGAAGTCCATCATCTTTAACATATCTAACAATTAAATGTGCAAGTTGGCAAGTGTCATCTGGCAACATGTCTTGTAAAGCCAAAGTACTACCATAACACAATACTTCATTAAATAAAGAAAGCAATTGTTTCCATATTACTGATGGCAAGTTATAACATAATATTTGCACAAAACTCTCCAAATGGGCATAAAAAGGTTTTGTTTCAACAATACTTAAATTAGCCTTTACTGATATAGTACTTTCCCATAGGCCCAAAAATGTTAAAACACATGTTTGAGCAGCTACAGATGAATTGTTGTTTATTAAAAGTAACATTTTATTTATTAATTCTGGCCACTTTGTTTCCAAACTTTTTATTATAAGACCTTTTATTGTAGAAGTGTCATAACTCTCTGCATCTGTAAAAGGTACCATTTGGCAATCAATATTATTATGATTACTACTTGAGCCAGGAAAATGTTTAAAGTCTGATTCTTCAAGTACATGACTTTCAATATCCTTCCATTCTACAACACGCTTCATAACTTCCAATGCAAAAATGATTTTGTCATAATCAATATTTTCTACTGTTAAATAATTAAATATTATTTCCAACCATTCATTATTAGTATTTGTTTTTGCTATAATTAATAAGCTGCTTAATACCCTTGCTGACAAAAAATTTACATATTTATCTCTTGTATCACATAATGAAATAATTTGTTCAATAATATTGTATTCATTTTGAAGTAAAGTATCACAGTATGCTACAATTTTAGAACATATTAATCCTTTATTGTTTTGTTTTAAATAAACATTAAAAATTTGTTGCATATTTGATAATAATTGAAGGATACATTTAGTAGGCCATTCAGACAACATAGTTTTTGATTCAGAATTATAATCATTACATAATTCAAGTGGTTTGTTTATAATTATTTCAGGCACTCCACAAAGACATTGATTATTTATTTGACTTTGAAAAAATGATAAAGTCAAATTATTGCATAGGCTTCCCTTAATTATATTATGTGAATGTAAAGATATTTCTTCGACCGTCAAATCATTTTCTAAAGAATAGTTTGTGTTTGTTATATTAAATGGTAAACATGTTTTTTTAATTTTTTGTGTTATATTGGATGCTGGTTCAATGGTAACATTACCAGAAGAAACAAATTGATTAATTATTTCAGGCAGTATATTTTTACCATCAATTTTATTTTCATCTTCACTGCTGCTATTAATTTGATATAGATGTTTTTCACCATGAAACTGGACATTTGCTGTATTTAGAGCAATATGATTTTCATTGACATGTAACAAATTTAAAGAAGATAAATCACTTGGAATATAATCAGTTTCATCAGAAGATTGTAACTCATTACCTCTTCGTACTTTCTTCTTTAAAGGCTGTTCTGATGACATTTTTTTGTTTTTGAACCATTTATTTTTAAATTTTGACTGAACTTGTAGAAACTAAAATAAAGAAGGTATTTTATTAACTCACTTAAAATTTTATTTAAGCTTACCTGGTAAACCAAGGGTAATTCAGTAGCCTTCTCATTTATCCATGATGTAGAATAATTTAACTCACATTTTGCTATTTTGAAGTGTATAACTATTGTTGTTTATCAGATCAATTTCAGGTTAACTATTTATTTATTATGTTAATCCCCATTAAATAATTGCAATCATCTTTTGTTTATAGCCATAACACCATTAGCGTACAATATAATTGGCTAGTCAAGTATGTATCTAATATTCATAAAAATATACTCAAACGAATTATTTAAACCTGTTCAGAAAAAAAATTGATTTTAGAAAATGTTTAGAAAAATTTATATTAAGGTTTTAATATATATACCTATATTTTAAAATTTCTTAATGGTACTGATAATTGAATAGATTGTATGTTTGAAAAATGAGCATAGACTTTAATATGCAATTCATTCAACATACATTGTATTATACGAACGAGATAGTTCTAAAGGTAACGGTAGAGGCAGCGGTAGAGGTTAAAGCATAGAAATAAAACTATAAATAAAATTATTTCTATGATTATTTCTATGGGTTAAGCCTAAATTATAGATTGCCTTCCTTCCTTCCTCCCGTAGTCGTGCCCGTACGATTTGTGCGTCTTGTAAAAAGTCAATTTATAGATTTCCGTGTAAAATTCCGTAACCATGCGCGATGACATCTAAAATGGTTGACATTTGTTTTTGTTTATATTCTGCGTTTTACCCATTGTGTGTAAATATGAAAGATAATCATTTATATATTGCAGTGATCACAATTTTAATTGCCCAGGCAGCTTGTTGTATACTGCCCAACTATGGAGAATTCTCGAAAGGCAGTAACTCGTCACCCTAATATTACAAGGTTGCATGTTACTATTTACACATTTTGAGTAAAACGTAAAACAAAAAAAGCCCATCAGCCTTTAGGTACAGTCAATATTTTTTACTTGTGATTTTGCTTTGAGCTGATTTCATATGCAATCTTAGTAAATTCTTATGTTTATTTTGACTCAATTGTTGTTATATTCAAAATTAGTAAAATTTTGAAAAAAACATACAACTTTGTAAATTTTTTTAATTATATTTATTGATTATTTACGTTACATAGAACTATGAACTTTTAATTAACTTAAATATTTTAATTACCGTATACTTCAAAATTAGAACTAAACTGAAAAAATAAAAACTACAAAAGAAAAATATTTAAAATACAAAAACTTTAAACAAATGTTATAATAAAAAAATACAGTTAATAGAAATTAGCATGATTATTCAATTTTTTTGTGTTTTTTGTGCTTTTTTTTGTTTTAAATTTTTAACTACTGCCGTTTTAGTTTGTCCTTTGGTAAAATCACTTTTTTATTTTTTTTCCTGTTTTTGTTACTACTGCCGCCTGGACGCTTGAACTGTTCTGCTTTGGTAAAATCGCTTAGTAATATTCTAGATCTACCTTGGGCATCCATGTTTTTATTATTTAATTATTAACAAATTAATTACAGCACTTGTAAATGAGATGTCACACAGAACTCAGAATCTCACTTTAATAGCACATAAAGTTGCGTTAAAATGTTTGTATGTCAAAAACAAAGAACAATGCAAATTGTAAATTTGACGTTACACAAGTATTGTTGATTGTGTCATTTTTGTGATTAAGGTAAATTCTCACAAAATGTCTTTGACAAGCCTAATGGACATACACCCTTGTTAATGTTAATTTATTTCCAAAGTATTTATAACAAAGGTGTTTGTTAAACATACACCTCTGTTGGTTTTATTAAACATATTAAAGCACATACACCTCCGTAATTTTCATAATATTTTACTTAATATGGGTAATTCCATCTATGTTTTGCTTGAAAAAGAAAGATTTGGTAACATACAACCTTGTTATATTATTAAGTCGGAAAGTGCAAAAAACATGACATACAACCTTGTAATATTAGGGTGACGAACTGCTAAACAAGAAATTTGTGAGAAATTAGCATACCTAACTACATTTTTATAAAAAGCAGTAGGTATTTATTTAACTGATTTATTTAACTTAAAAGATAGTTTACTGCATTTCTTTGTTGAATTACGATACAAAATGTCCATAGCTTTATCATAGCACAAGAAAATTCATTTGTAGTTACTGCCTTTTTCCATAGTAGGGCAGTATAATAAAAAAAACATCAAACAAGACGTTGGAAGATTCGCCCACTTTACCAAGACCGGGAAACTAGGGGTTTTACAAAGCAACGTTTCTAAAAATCAAAGGCTTTGTTATCTATGCTAAAAATGAAAGACATTGATCATAAACAATATCTAAATATCCTATTTAGAGACACAAATTATTTAATAAACTAAAGAATCATGTATTTTAAATATTTTGTAATTACGCCTGTCACCCTACAGCGCATGTCAATAACAAGCACTGTGATTGGTCATGTCAAAGACCTTTACGGTGAAAGATAAAACTTAAAAATTTCTACGGGAGGAAGGAATGCCGTCCTCACGGTACGGGAATCTATAACTGGCACTACGATTTAAATAAACGTTTTTGACGTAATTGTTACCATTAACATTGCCCGTTATTAATTTTAATTAAACTTAACAATTATTGATACTTTAAAATATTAAAATAACTTCAAATTATGATTTTGTTAAGAAAATATTTTATTCCTTGATTTTTTTATTACTATAATTGCAAAATATTATCACAAAGTATTAAAAATTCCTACACGGGAAATGTTAATGGTGACAATTACGTAATGTTCATCTTCTACGGGAGGAAGGAAGGAAGGAAGGAAGGCAATCTATAACTCAGGCTTTAAAGCGACCAGATTCTGTCAAAAAATAGCAGGACATTTGTGTAAATTAACCTTAATTACAAAAATGACACAATCAACAATAATTACGTAACGTCAAATTTACAATTTGCATTGTGTCAATTTTGTAATTAAGGCATATACCTATAACTTATAGGAGTTATAGGTATATGAATTAAGGTAAATTCATACAAAATGTCCCTCTATTTTTTGACAGAATCTGGTCACTTTAGTTTAGCGGTAGCGGTAGCAGAGTTTAAGTTAGATTTATAGTTTTATTCCGCTATAGGTATTCCGCCATTCTATTGTTCAGCATATGTCCATATACTGGTAAGTACATGCATGTGTCACGTGATCGGCTATTCAGGGATCTTTTTGGCCCGTTCAAATCAGAAGTTTTCGTTACGACTGTGAGGTTTTTCTTTTATTGTGTTTTTGTGCGTTACGCCATTAGAAAAAAAACAACAGGAAGGAGTCTAGCGAGGGAAGTCGCCATTTGCATCCTGTTGTTTTTTCTTCTAAGGTTAAGCCTGATTTATAGATTGCCTTCCTTCCTTACTCCCGGCCGCTTGCCTGTGCGATTTTTTTGTCTTGTAAAAAGTTAATGTATAGATTCCTGTACCGCATTCCGTAACCCAGATAGCACAAGAGGTACCCAGGACGTCCATTTCGGGTCCCACATAGGTCCGAACGTCCTAGACCTATATCGGAAGTTTTGGGTACGTCCAGTCTCTTTCTTATTTGGGAAAAATATAGCGCGCTATATTTTTCCCAAATAAGAAAGAGACTGGACGTACCCAAAACTTCCGATATATATATCCGCGGATATACTGCAGTACCCATGGGTACGTCCCAAGGACGTAATTGAAGCATTGTATTTCCAAAGGGTCTAAGTGCCAAGTTGGTTAAATAATATATTATCATTTAAAAATAGTTTGTGTCATGCAGAATGACTTAATAGTATATTCTGTAATAAGTTTGGAATACAGCATATCCGCTCGAGTAAAGAGTTTGTCACACGAGCCGAAGGCGAGTTTGACGGTTTCAGGAGAACGGAATATGCAATTCCAAACGTGTTTCAGACATTTCAACATTTACATGTGCAAAATATTTGTTTTTTATTGATAACTCACAATTTTATTTTTGTAACTTAGACCCCCCCAGACAGCATCCAATTCAGAAAGATTTCTGTACGAAGTCTGTTGAAAAACATCTTACTGAGGTCACAATATGACATCTTAGAGAAATCATTTTTAGGAGCTGAAGATTAAGAGTTCTTGATGAATTCATAAATAAGAAGTAAATTTTTTAACATCTTAAAGTATCTTTTTTCTGACCTCTTATTGGAATCAAAATTAGAAGCTACTAAGGGTAGGTATCATAAATAAGACTTTAGTTATATGATATCTTACAGTATTCTCTTTTCTTACTTCTTACTGAAATCATATTATTAACTCTTTAAGACGTCAACATGGAGACGTCACATTTTAATCCGATTCTTTCTTCTCGCCGCTGTAACTGCTTGTGTTTGATATAAGAAGCGGCGAAGTACTAAATCCAAAAGAAAATACACATAGCTACATAGATATGTGTCTGTCAAATGGATTTGGATTCTGCAACTCTGAAATACCCACAAGGAAATCCAAAACTCTCATAGACCATGTACTTAGTAACTCAACATATAAAACCCAAGTGTCACTAATCTGGAACTCATTAAGTGATCATGATATCCAAGTTATATCCTTTGAACATAAAACAAAACAAAAAGTGATGAGTTATCAACAAAAAATTGTTAACTATGAAGCTGTGGCCAAAGATCTTACAGAATTCAACCTAGGATACAGCGATGAAAACAACGTTAACACAAACTACAATAATCTTATTGATTGTTTTAGAAAAAACACATCCTACACTATAAAATCATACAGACCAAAAACAAACTCAAAATCATGGTTTAATGAAAGGATAAGAAGTGCAATGAATGAACAACAATATTTTTACAAAAAAATGCGTCAAACCGACAGCGAATCTATAAAAAGTAGATATATTAAAGCCACTGAAAACCTAAAAAAAATAATTAAAACAACTAAAATTAAATTCTACAAAGAAAAATTTGAAGAAGCTAAAAATAATCCCAAGAAAGTTTGGAATATTGTCAACAATATACTAACTAACAAAACCCATAAAAAATCTGCTGAAATATCATCCCTAAAAATTGGAGACAGAACTGTAGAAAAAACGCGAGAAATAAGCGAAAAACTAAATGAATACTTTGTTAAAATTGGTGAAAATCTCGCAAAGGATCTGGACAATGAACCAATAAATGAAGAACTTGAGACAAAAAATGAGGGAACCATGTCCTTCACAGTGATAAGTGAGGAAGAAGTGTCAAAACAAATTAAACTGCTAAACTCAAAAAAAGCTACCGGATGGGACTCCATAGACTCTTGTACTCTAAAAAAGTGCTGTGAAAGTGTTGTTCCACCTTTATGTAAATTAATAAATCAGTCATTTAAAAATGGCATAATGCCAGATGGAGCTAAATTGGCTATAGTTAGACCCCTATTCAAGGATGGTGACACGAGCCTGATGAATAACTATCGTCCAATCTCTATATTGCCATGCTTATCAAAAATTATTGAACGCATTGTAAATAATAGACTATTGACATACCTAAAAAAAATTGACTTCTTCTACAAACACCAGTATGGCTTTCGCGAATCGAGTGACACAGTGGGAGCTACAGTTGATCTTATATCAGATCTTCAAATTAATATTGACAAAAACTGTGGCTCTGCGCTAGTGTCACTCGATCTGCGAAAGGCTTTTGACACAGTAAACACTTCCATATTATTAAAAAAACTAAAACTACTGGGCATTCGAGGCACGACTCTGGAGTGGTTCGAGAGTTATTTAATTAGAAAACAATTTGTGTCACTACCCTCCCAGGGTGATTCATCAAAAATGTATGTCAACAGCAGTGAAAGAACAGTAACCTGTGGCGTCCCTCAGGGCTCAATCCTGGGACCAGTATTATTCCTGGTTTACATTAATTCCATTGCAAACTTAAAGCTGAGAGGTAAGCTTAAATTATATGCAGACGACACAACTATAGTTTATTCAAGTAAATCTAAAGAAGAATTGATTCAAAATATTCAACATGATCTACACATAATTTTAAAATGGCTCATCTCTCATAAACTCTCACTTAACATAAAAAAATCATCCTACATGTTTATAGCTAAACAAAGTCTTCAATGGAATGGTGTTGCCATAGCCCTGGGTGACAACACACTAGAATACTCAAAGGTAATTAAATACCTTGGCCTGTATATTGATGAAACCCTATCATGGGAAGCTCACTTGAGCATACTGAGAAAGAAAATAGCTCCACCAATTGGAATCTTAAAAAAAGTAAATCAATATCTACCGGGATTCCTGTTGCGTTCGATGTATTTTTCGCTGGTGCACTGTCATATACAATATTTGACATCTGTGTGGTGTACTGCAAAGCAATATCTTATTAAACCAATCAAAATACTACAAAACAAAGCTATAAAAAACATCTATAACCTCCCATTAAGATATTGTACAAAAGATCTATATAAAAACTATAATATCCTCTCTGTTGATAACATATACAATTACCAAATATC